ATAATTACAACAGTAGCAATGAACAGAAGAAGCTTGAATAAGTATGTGTCTGAACAGACCAGATCCAGAATGGGAATGATATCACAAAAGAAATGTTTATCACCTTCGAGCCACAAAAGGGGTAGCTAAATAGACAACCAGTGAGTCCTACAGAAAGTGGAACACAAGCAGTCCAGCATGCTATGACCATACGAAGACACACTCTCCTGTTCATTGTTGTGGCATAGTGCAAGGGATGGCGTATAGCCACATGCTGGTCATATGCCATAGCGCCCAAGAGGAAACACTCAGAAGAGGTGAAGGATATGACAAAGTAAAGTTGAACAGCACAGGCAGAAAAGGAGATGACCTTCCTCTCCAACAACAAATCCACAAGCATCTTGGGCACTATGCTTAGTGTAAAGCAAATATCAATTAAAGCCAGGTTTTTGAGAAAATAGTACGTGGGGTTGTGCAAGGCAAGGTCAATGGTTACAGCTATGATGATGAGAAAGTTGCCTGTCATTGTCATTAAGAACATCAGAAGAATTCTCTCAAAGAGGAAGACCTGAAGGTTGGAGGTTGGAGAGAGGCTGGAGAACCCCTGCAAGGTGAAGTAGGGCTGGTTTCTGAGCCCTGGTGCTTCAACAGCGTCCATGTAAAACAAACAACGCAGCCTGTGTAAGCCAACAAGGAAGACAAGAAAAGAAAAGTCTTCAGAGGGATGAAGAAAAAATAGTGAGCTGCTCTGAAACTGGTTCCATTGGTTAGTAAGTGGGACAATCAAATATAGCTGGGCAACTAACATTTTGGGAGACATACTAAAAAATAGCAATACATGATAAAAATGAGGTAATAAGAAAACACAATGAGCTTCACTGCAGAAGACCTAGGATTTTCCTTATAGCTTGTCTATTTTTCATCCTAATTAAGAAAAAAAATGTTGCTGTGTCTACTTCATATTTCAGTTTAACAGATATTTTCTGAAATGTTTTCATCTGCAATTCATGTATTTTATTTTCTGTGTGTAAAATATGGATTGATTTTTTACAGAACGGAAATCTAATTACATTCTCTGCTCTACTTTTAGGAAAAAAATTATTTTTCCCTTTTTTCACACACATACAAGTATGTATGTATATACGTATTTCAAATAAATAAAGGAGAATTAACTTGTTGACAGTACAGGCATGCATTTGAAGCTTGAAGGATGGACAGTACATATTCTACTATGTGGTTTTATCACTGCTAAAATATAAGATAATGACCTATTAATTTTGTGGGTTTTTTTTTTTTTTTTTTTTTTTTTTTTTTTAAATCATTGTTCTGTATTCAATGCCACTGGAGAATTACTTATGAAGTCAGCATTGTAAGAAACTTTCCTCTTGTAGACCATTTGCGATCTACCTCTCTGTAGATATTTGGAGATATGTGATGAATTTGGATATATCTTAGTATTGGATATTTGTGATGTAGATAACCATATCTGAGGTAAAAATTTGAATTACCTTCTCAGTTTACATGTCTTCATGCCAGCTACAAAGATACATCAGAAACCTTGACTATATTTCTTACTTAATGCAGTTATCTTTAATGATGTCATCACGTGGGGAGTGGGAGGGGCATTCATTAGCACAGAAAGGAGCAGCCATGTGCACTGCAGAAAACAGGATTAGCTGGGAAAGGTCCTTCCCTGACAGTCTGTAGTTAAAGCACCCTCCAACATGCACTTTGATTATCAATACTGGTTGACCTTCCTATGTTCCTTCACAGTAAAGTGAAGCTACAAGTCTGCGTGGTTATAAAACACAACCCCTTTCAGTATGTTACTATCTTTACCTGTGTTCCCTCTGATCATCTTAGTAGTCCTCTTCTGGACTCTCTTCTATTTTCAGTCTCTTTTTTTTTCTTTTTTTTTTTGTAAAGGTGGATACCCAAATGTGCCACCTTTCTCTATAGGTGGCCTCACAAGTGCCAAGCAGAGGGCAAGGGGTGCACTCCTTTGACCAGCTGGCTAGCTCTTGCTGACACAGCTTGTGAGCTGGTTATTCCTCTCCAACACAGGGACTCATGCCCACCTTGGCATCCACCAGGAACCCTAGATCATTTTCTCCTCAGATGTTCAGTCTCAATCTATACCTATGCATCTTTTATACCTCCATGATTTGGCATTTGTTGTGAAATTAATGAAGTGCCTGTGTCTGGCCATCTTCCCTTGTCTTCACATTTCTGTTAAGTGGAAACTCCTGAGGATGGTCTCCACCATGTACCTCCAGTCCCTGATGAATATGTACAACAGCATTCACATCATTAACAGCCTAGGAAGAATGCTACCAGCTAGACTCAGATTGTTGACCACTACACATTAGAGCTTTGATGGTCCAGACCATCCTAATGTTTTCCCATCCAATTTATATCTTCCCAGTTTGGCTAAAATGCTACTATGTAAAGAATTGCTGAAGTAATTAACTGATGTCCACCAGTTTCCCTTCACCCACTCTGAACCAGTCATCTCATCACAGAAAGGTGTCAAACTGGTCAGGCATGACATGTTTCCAGTAAATCTGTGCTGTTACACATCCTTTCCTGCCCTTCATATGCCTGAACATGGCTTCCAGGAGAGTTTGCTCCATATTCTCCCTCAAGGCTGAGGTGTGGTTGACAGTCCTCAGATCTTTCTTCTTGGTCTTCATGAAGACAGGCACATTTGCTTTTCCTCTGTCACTGGGACCTACCCTAGTTTGTCAAAGATGACAAATACCAATCTTGCAATGCCATTAGCCACTTCCCTCAGCACATTCTGCTGCATCTATGTGTTTGTGTGGTTTCAGTTTATGGTAATTTTATTGTCCTCTGTTGTAGGTAGAACCTCCCTTTCCCAAATTGTGCAACTACTTTGTTTCTTTAACAAAAGACCCATTTCAGAGCACCTGTTAGACCTGTAACAGAATCTCTCTGTTAACCTCACTCTCCTCCCAAAAGGGAGAAAGGAAGAGAGACTTACGGATTAGAAAAGAAAACTATAAAAGCTTTAATGAAATAATAAAATAGAATATACAAAAATATACACAAAGCCAATAACGAACCAAATCCCCCTGATGGTAATTACATCACCGTCACCATTGATGCTGTGGAGCAGGCACTGGGGAAGTCCCAGACTGGACTCCATGGCAGATGAGAACCAGATTCAAGTGCTTGATTCTGGAACTGGATTCAGGCATACACAAATACAAGTTGAAGACAGAATAGAAAGAGTCCTCCTCGTGTATCAGCCATTGAAGAAGAAGGTTGACCCTTGGGATCCCTAAGCTTTATACTGAATGTTACATATATATGATGGAATCCCTCATAGGTCAGTTTAAGGTCACCTGTCCTGTCTGCTCCTCCCTACAGATGTTGCCTTTTATTTTCTGTACCCCCAACATTGTACACAGCATTCAGCAGTGACCTTGTTCTGCACAGGAGGAACTATAAGCAAGAGTCTTTCTGCACACACCAACCCTTGGTAGTAACTCTAAACATGGAGGGTTATCACTGCTAGAAGCAGACACTGTGAAAATATATCATTAACCTCAGAAAGTGTCATTAGTGAGAACAGACTGAGCTGAAAAGTAAAATCGCTGAAAATTAAAATCACTGAAAATAATTGTTCTGTTCTAACTCAAACCAGAACAAGGTGTGGGGTTTTTTTCTTTCTTTTTTTTTTTTTTTTTTTTTTTAACTTTCTTTTTTTTTGTTTTTTTTTTTTTTTTTTAAATCCACATTTTTTACAAGTGAAATATTTTCCTGAATGATCAAGAAAAGCTTTTGCAGTGTTTCTGCAAACAGCTCTATGGCAAACATCAGCAGCTGAGATGCCCATCTACATTTCCTTTACAATCTGTGAATAGAAACAAGAACTCTATAATGGTTTGAAAACAAACCAGTGAGAGACTCCAAGTCAGAAATACAATTTAATGAGAAAAAAAAATAAAAGCAATAATACAAAGGAAAACCACAGACAGAGTCAGAATACAACCTGATACTCTGTAGTTAGGGTGGTGGTAGCAGTCCAGATGAAACAGTGGTCTCGTAGAAAAGATCTGGTAGCTCTTGTCCTCTGGAAATCCAGTGGGTAAGGGCCCCCTGTGCTGTACTGAACCCCAGTTTATGTCCAGGTGGGAGCACTTGGCTCCTCCCCCTGGGTGGAGCATCTCACAATGGGTTGATATCAGTCTATGAGTCATGCAGTGGGTCCTTGATGGTCCATTAAACAGAAATAGCTCCTGGGGGGAGCTCTGTATGAGTCATGGGGCAAGGCATGGATGGGCCCATTAACAGGGAGGAGGACTCCTGCTGGGTGGGAAAGGTGTTAACATCTCCCCTGACCTTGAACTTCTTTCCTTATCTGTTATAGCCTGGGGTGTGAGGTCTGTCCTGGGCAGCTGCTACCCATGATTTTCTTAACAGCCCATGAGCACTGACATAGAGAGTATAGAATATACAGTTTTGGTTCTACCCACATAAGGATAAACTGGTCCCAGCCCCTGTAACCATGACAAACTCTCAGATGTCATTTTTGTTCATTCTTCAGACATAATCTAAAATAAGTCCTAGAAGCACTTAAATCTCTTACATCTCTCTGGAAGTCTTAACACACAGCTCAGACATCACTGTGTACATTGCAGACATGGAGTTGATAACTTCAAATCTGAGAGATACATTCTTTTCTACCCTTTAAAAACATTAAATTACTTCTCCTTCTTGACCCATCTGTACTACTAAGCATTGTTTTCTGGCCAATTTTCATCAACAAATAGTACAGAAATTAGTGATCTCCCTCAATTTTCATAAGAAGCAATCCAGAGTGCCTTTGTTCATGAGTTCAAATACTGGGATACCTTTTTCTGCCACTTCAGGACTGTGAATAATTTCCTGTAGGATCCCTAACAAAGAGTGAGGTTCAGCTGTTCTGAACTACATGCTGTCCTACACTGCTTCTTGAGGTAGGAACCCCTCTCTGGATTCATTGCCAAGTATACTCAGAAGACAGAACATATCCCTTGGTATTGTAGTAAACTGAACAATTTAATGAAAGTTAACAACTTCTGTATGTTAAATGTAAGATTGCACATAGCAATCACAATTCTATAACTAATGAACTAATTTCAGGTTGGTAAAGATGGTCCTTTCCCTTTATCTTCCCTTCTCTCCACCAAAACTTAACAGAGTGGGCATTTCTTTTTGGAAGCTTTTGCAATGTTGTTGTGGGAGTGTTGCTTTCACTTTAAAGTTTTAATTGTCAGTTCAACTATGGATAGTATTTAATTAATTTTAGACTGGATGTCTACATTTCGTGTTCTTCTGTATGAGATGATAGTAGTCCTTTAGTGTATTGAAATGAGCCCTTCTAGAACATGTTTTACATCAGCCAAAACCAGATATCCAGAAGAGATCAGATGAACCACATGCAAGCAACATTTCTCACTCTCCTGATTTGCAATCAAGGGTGTCCAGGTAACTGTCTTGTATGTATAAAACATATACACCATATGTGTCAAAACTAAAAGTACCCCAGAACATAACATTAATAAATGGTCTGTCTGCTTAAATTGAGTTTCAGCTTATTCTGAACTGAATTTATGCTGTAGAGAGGGAAAAGAAAGCAAACAAGCAGGCAAGAAGGTATCAATATGTAATAATACATCTACAATGACATGCATGGATTTATTTTGCATAGTTTACAGTGCTCACTATATATTCATGTTCTTGCTCCATACCGCCCCACAACTGATAGCAAGATTATTTACCTGTTTTGTTCTTCTGCTTACATATTTTAAGATGTACAATTACACATTACCAAGCTTTATTCAAATTAAACATATTCATATGTCATGTAATTGTGTCTGAGTCTGTAACTTGTTAAAAATTATTGCTCCCTTTTTTTTTTTTAACAGAAAGCAGCCCTGTGAAACCCAGAAATTTACTTGTTTGTTTTTGCAGAGCTTCCTTTACCTCTTTGTTTCGCAGACTGTAGATGAGAGGATTGACCAAGGGAGTGAGAATGGTATAAAAAACAGAGAAGACTTTGTTTGGAGACATTTTGATATCACGATGAGGAAGTACGTAAACAGTTAATATTGACCAGTAAAAAAGAATCACCACTATAAGATGTGAGGAGCAAGTGGAAAAGGCCTTTTTCCTTCTAACAGCAGAAGGAATTTTCATGAGTGTGATAATGATGTAGAGATAGGATGAGAAGGTCAACAGAAATGGAGGCAGTGAGCACACACCTGCTACAACAGAAGTGACAAGTCCTGTCACATGAGTGTTACTACAGGACAGTTTTAGCATTGGGAATGAGTCACAGAAAAAATGGTCAATTTTGTTAGGCCTGCAAAAATCTAAATTTGAGATCAGGAATGTTAGTATAGAATTAGACAGGAAACCACTTATCCAAGATGCAGCACCCAGCTGGAAACAGAGCTTGTTGGTCATACGGATGGGATAGTGAAGGGGTTTGCACACCGCTAGGTACCTATCATAGGACATCACAGCGAGGAGATAACACTCTGCAGCTGCCAAGCAACCAAAGAAATAGTATTGTGTAAAACATCCATTGACTGAAATACTTCTGTCTCCACCCAGATAGTTAAACAACATCCTCGGTAAGATATTTGAGCTGTAGCAGATTTCCAAACAGGCCAAGTTGCCCAGAAAGAAGTACATAGGGGTATGAAGGTGCCGACTAAACACCATCAGCACAAGGATGAAGATGTTTCCAGATATGGTCAGAATGTAGATTGACAGAAACATTAGGAAGAGAAAATAATCCAGTTCAGGGCCATTTCCAAATCCCAGGAGGATGAACTCTGTAACAGCTGATTTGTTTTTCCACTCCTGCTTTGTCATAATTTTTATTCTAGTGAGAGAACAGGAAATGTTAGCACCAACAAATACTTTTACAATTAACACTCAAATAATGAAAGTTTCTTCACTTTCATTAGAAGCAGAGAGAAGCAGAGAGTAAAAAAAAAAAGTCTTTGTCTTACCAGACCTGCTGCCTGATTTCTATAGAGATTGGTCACATACTAAGAGTTACATTACTTATATGCTAATATGTAATATGTATAACCTAATATGCTGAGAAGTGCACTTAAAACTGAAGCAATGCCTGCGCCTCTTCTCTGGCCCAAAGGTATTTTCTACCAGGTTTCCAGTCTGTACAAGCAGTTAAAAATCAAGTTCTCTCATTAGATGCCATTACAAGTTTTGCCATATTCCTCTCTTTTATGAGAAAAATAAAAATTTTTTTTCTGACTGTTCCAGTAGTAATGTAAACATATTTCCATTGTATTGATGCATATTTTATATTTGCTATATTTAAGTATGTAGCATGACCTTTAAGAAATTTTTCTTACGTGAAGGAGGCTGAAAAACAATCCAACTTCCACCAATGAAAATAAGCATGAAGAACATCTGTATCAACCTCAGCATATGTTTACTATGGCATAGAGATACCAAACACACACAAAAGCACATTACAGTTGTCTCACCTTTCAGTCTTGTCAATGGGTGGAATGAAGGATTCCAGATTTAAGAATTTTAATTCACCCTAAACCAGACAGAATGTATCATCTCATAAAAGTACCTGTCTTGTCACTGAGAACTCGGTGAGAAGATAGTTGCCAAACCCTTAATCAGAAAAATATGGTTTAGATAAATCTTACTGCTTGTCATAATGTTTTTTATTTTTCCTCTCATGTACTGACACATCATTCTCTAGATTTCCTTACAAATCAAATTTGCCACAACTCCTGAGGCTTTCACTGATCTTTTCTGGATTTATTTAGTACAGAAATACTAACATTTCCCCACTCCTCTCTCCCTGCCCCCTCCCCTCCTTCAGTGTCCAAAACTAGACACTATACTGTGGTTAAGGCTATATCAGCAAAGGAACTGAACAGAAAAATCTGCTTCTTTTTTCTTCTGTATAGACTCTTGTTGTCAGCTCTGCTTTTATCCAGCTGTGCATGGAGCTGGGAGAGGAACTGGCAATGTATTAATGGGGCGAGGCATTTTTCAAGCCGATGCACCTAGCAACTCACATTCGAACCATGGTGCTTGACTGGGAGGGACAATCTTCAACCTCAGGGTTCTGTAAACACATCCTACATCATAAATAAAACGTTGGTGTTTTTTTTTTCAGCCCATTGTCTTCACAGATCTAGCACTTCAACTTAAACAGCATCTATTTGAGCCATCTTCAGCAACTGACATGAAATGTCTACTTCTTCTAAGGCATGCACCTCAGACTCCTCTTACAGTCTACGGAGAGAAGTGTGTCCTTTAGAATGTAGTCCATTCAATGTGTTTTAGATATCTATTTTGTTTGAGCTAAATAATCTAAGCAAATTATCGATTTTCTTCTGTTGACAATAGCAGGAGTATAAATATTAGCTCAGAAGTCAGCTTCTGCCATGCAGACTGCATCACTGTCTTGATGTCACTCATGACATTCAGGCACTGCATGTAGGTGGAGTTGACCAGACTCTCTAGCAGTGAAGGGCATATAAAGAAATCCATCCAATAACTTATATCTGGATGACCTATGATAGCTTAAGACGTCTTAAGACTTACACATTTCTTTCTACAGATCTAATTTTAAATTTTCATTTAAACTGTTATTCATTCAACCCCCCCAATTTTTAGACAATTTCCAACATCTGACAATGGAAAATGTTGGAAGTGTGTCCTGTTTCTGTGCCAATCAACAAAACTTTCAGATCAACACTGTTTCTTACCTGAAACCACAGGAACATTGAAATCCAATTAAAAAATCTTTCATTTCTCAAATTATGATCCATCTTTATTTTTTCTAAGAGCTTGATTTTCTCATAAAAAGAAAAATAGCGCTCCTTGTTCAGCAAAGACCCTCTTTCCCATTAGTTGTTTTTTTTTTTTTTTAGCCAAATGAATATACCAACTCTTCTTTTACATTATGTCACCTACAGAGTGTTTTTCCCTTCACCTCACCCCTTAAAAAGCTTTCAGAGTTGAGACTTGTGAAATACCCCTGGGGATAATCAAGCAAACAAAAGACTTGGAGATGTTGTTTCCATCAACCTCATACACACATAAATAACCGTTCTTTTCTTGTACACTCTGACTGGAATTATGGTTTTCTTAGCCTACATTTTGTTTACTTTTGGGCCTGGATGGAATTATATTGATGGAGAGATTGACAACCAAATGAGTGTTTACTATGATGATCATCACTGCTATCAAGTCAGCAATGGGTTCTACAGATGTGTTGAAGTCTAAAACTGACTAGGGCCTAGATTTAATGCCAGGCAGCTACCTGAGTCTCATCCTCTGGAGATGTTGCTCCATCTTCTTTTTGGGCAGGGTGACTTGTGTGCTAGCTGTGGTACCACAAATAAATGAGATGATTGTTTTTAGTCCTGGTGTTTAATCTCAGCTTACTAGCTTGCATTTAAGAAGGCCAGGTAGACTATAACTAGTCAATATTCAGACTACTTAGTCTCCAAGACCAGACAGAAACAGCTTGATGAATAAACATCTTTTGGCAAAGCACAGCTTGCATCAGTTTTCTGAGCCTCAGAAAAAAAAGAAAAATCATGTGAAAGTGGGGAAATTTAAAGACCGCATGAAAAAAGTGGAATCCCCAAAAAGTAGAAAGGGAAGTTATGTTGTGCAATCACCACTAGATGGGAGTGTAGTCAGAACAATGTGAACTATCTATTCCTGTCAGAGTGACTTTGGCTTGTGCAGGTGCAGAGATGGTTCTAGTTGAACGGCAGAGACTGAATACCGTCCATTCAGGTTGCTAACATGAGATGGAATTAATCTGTCTCAAAAATACGAAATCTACCTGTTGAGTTTCCCATGGGGTACCCTTAGTTTTCTATCAATTAGCTGCTCTGTCATTTCCATGATAGAAATAAAATGCTTTTGTCCAACCACAGTTTCAGCCACGTCATTGCCATAATTTGTGTATGTGTCATCTAGAATCCTTAGTTTGGAGGACAAGACACACCAGAAGATAGGACTCTGATTTTGGGGCCAGAATGCCCTCACATGATTAATTCACACACTATTAATTTGTACCTAGCCTCAGGTAGTTATTTACAAACTCCATCTGGAAAGTGAAGAGACAATGGACTACTAAGTCTTCCAACATCAAAACTGTCACCTGAAGTGGCAATGGAAGCTCTTAAAAGTGTCTGTCTCTTTTCAGTGAGCAAGCTACACTGAGTATCTAGTTGAGTCTAGATATCCAAATATCTAGTTAAAATAGTCAAATATTCAAGAGGCTAAATCTGGGTGAGATGACTTCAGCTTCTAAGGAGATTCCTGCCTTCCTTTTTTAAACCTGAGTATGATTACAAAACTTGCTTAGTAAGTAAAATACTTGAGTCCTAGCTGCATTGTAGCTCAGTCATTACCTCCAACTCCCTTACTACCAGACGATACCCTAGTGCCTAGGCTATGGCATGATTCATCATAAGTTCTCTTTCATCTGTGTTAATGAGTTCTGCCATGGGGTGGGAAGTAATGTCAAGTTCATGAATGCCGAAACTCAGCCGGAGACTGTCCGAATCCACAGTGATGTTCTGTGCACATTGTGTCCAATATAAAATGCTTTGTCTGTTTCTGGGGAAAAAAAAGAAAAGGCCACCAGGAGGAGATTTTGTGTATCTCAGGTGAGTATCCACATTTGGGTATGTGGAAGGCTTACATGTGGTATTCTTGTGAATTAGGGAAGACAGAACAATGAGATTCTGTCTTCTAATAAGGAGATTTTATGACTCATGATTCTTCAGAAGCATTCATATTCTAACCATATAAACCCAACTTTGAAACGCCTTTCGATATTGTTTGAATGAGGTGTCCCACCAGGACTTTGGCCAAGGAACATCTTGCCAACACAGATAGCAACTTCCTAATGGATTTATTAAAATTTCAATTTGTTTTTGGCCTACAAGATTACTTGAAATATAAGGCAGCCAGCCATAGTGAGCATTAGCAGTAAGTAGGCTCCGGAGATAGGTAATAAAAAAGAATGTTTTTAGACTGTACAGAAAAGGGATTTCAGAGAGAGATGTATAATAGCTGCTCAGTTTACCTGGACATGGGTGGAAATATTTGCAAACATACACTCATAGAAAAATACATAACTGCAAAATGAGATTTCTGCTTACCTGAACCTGAAGATTAAGACTTCATCTGGCCAAATTTGACACTGAATAAACTCAAGTTAACTTCGTTTCACATGGAGTTTTCTATCTTCCCTGAAATTCAAGCTACATTATACATATAGAAAATTAGATTAACTTACTTAAATAGATGTGTGCAGTGTAGGTTTAAGTTCATTTGGGTTTCTTTTCCTGCATTTTGCTCAAAAAGGATGCAGGTCTATTGTAGGCATTGTGCCATGTCTGCCATCAGTCTGCAGAAATCTCAGTCCAAGTAGCTGAAGCCTGCCCTCAGGGAGTTGCTCAGGAGACACCTGAATTAGAGACTTATGAAATTAGATGCTCAAGTTTGGATGTCAAATAGTCATGAAAACTCAGTTCACTGTTTGCAAAGCTGGATAAAAAAAGGTGTGTTCAGTGTTTAGGAAGTTAGCAGCTATTCACACCAGGAAAGAAGTGTCCATTTATCCTCAGCAGGA